TGAAACAGAATCGAAAGATCGAGAAGTCTTAGAGACACTAGCCAACGAAATACAAGGTTTGAAAAACCAGCTACTAATCCAAATGGAGTACAGGTGGCAAGGACTGAGAATTAGGGATAAACTCAGACGCCACAACATGGAAGGATCAATAGGCGTGCGTTTCTTTGCAATGGTCAGAGCAAGGACGGGTAAAACGATAATAGAGGCACAAGAAGATCCTTTCAACAAAGATGCTTCGTTGGTCACTACAACTGCGACATGTACTAAGTTTGCTCATGATTTTTTTAAGGATCTCTTCACTTATGAAAACAGTGATATCCCAATGAATTTATGTACCAAGGAAGTAGAGGACTTCTTAATTCCCCTCACTAGAACATTATCAGAGGAGAAAAAAAAAAAATTGGAAAAACCATTGACCAAAGAGGAAATATGGACAACCTTAATGCTAAAGAAAGAGGAAAAGTCTTTTGGGATCGACGGTCTACCAAAGAAATTTTGGGAGGCTTTATGTGACTCCCTTTCACAAGACCTTATAGACTATTACCAAGCGGTCTAGAACTCAGGGGAAATGGGGGAAGTAGTGCGTCAAGGGGTTTTAACTCTAATTTACAAAAAAGGAGTGAACACTAATATTCGAAATTATCGGCCTATGACATTACTCACTGTTGTTTACAACTTGGTAGCTAAAGCCTTGGCTGATCGTTTGTCGAACGTTGTCACAGACATCATCGATCTGACGCAAACTGGATTCACTAATGAAAAGAATATTCAAGACAATGTACTGCTAATAAATGAACTGATTAAACTGACTCGTCAATCCGAACACAACGCCGCTTTCAAATTGATTTTGAAAAAACATATGATCATGTGCACTGGTTCTTTCTGCACAAATGTCTAGAGAAATTTAACTTTGGCTCTTGCTTCCGGAGATGGGTTCAGATCCTACATGGTAATGCCACTACCAGAGTCATGGTTAACAACAATGTGGCGCCACCTATCCCCCTGCATAGATCAGTCAGACAAGGAAACTCAATTGCTCCGTACTTATTTGTAATTATAATAGAAACTCTAGCAGCAAATCTTCGTCATCATAAGGACATCAAGCGTATTTAGATATCCTCCATACCAGAAGATGCCATTCCAGTCTGCTCCCTTTTTGTCAATGACCTTTCCCTCATGGAGGACGCATCTCAAGCGAATCTAGAGGAAATTCAAAAAATGATGGACAGGTTTTGTCGTTTATCCGATATGAGGATTAATTGAAAAAACAAGACATTTGGGTGGTGGATTCAACATCAAGGAGGCAAACGTCTCGAACAACCTCAAGTCAAGTGACTTCTTCTTGACACACCTATTAGAGTATTGAGAATCCCTTTTTTTGTTGATGGAAAACCAAAGACTGACAATGAATGGATTACTCAAAATGCTCATATTAAGATGAAATTATGGAAGAATAAGCACTCCTCACTACTTGGTCGTACCTTGGCCAGTAATACTGTTATCCTAGCTTCAATCTGGTACAAGTCCTCTATCTGGCCTTTAAACAAGGCAACACTTGAAGTATTCCGACAACAGTTAATAACCTTCTTATGGAGAGGCAATCATAAGTTTAGGAATGTGATTAGTAGAGTGGCCTGACAATCGATAATTCAGTCCAAGATTAAGGGTGGACTAGGGGTCATTGACCCAGCGACCGAAGTTATGACTTTATCTATTCAATGGATAAAACGTCTCATATTCAACCCACAGACTCAATGGGCAGCACTAGCGTGAGAACAAATTAAACGTTTAGCTCCCCAAACACCAGAAAAGGTTGATCCCATTATGTGGTTGGAGAACTGCTCCTGACCTCTTCCTAGGGGCACTCACAAAGGTCAAATAGGGCAAATAGCCTCTGACAGACAGACTTCTAGGGATGATTTGTGTAAAGATCCTTTGTGGGTTTCCATGCTTAAAACTTGGAGAAAGTTGTCTCTGACTAATAAGATGTCCCCTGATAGATGGGAAAAACTCTCTTCAACAACCGATGAATTAGAGATTCCCAAGGTGTGTCCTTCACTGCATGGACTCTCCTTGGAAGTGCTGGGTCAAAAGAGGAATCTTGAGAATCAAGGACTTGTGGAATAAGAAGACAAATAATTAGATTGACTCATCACTTTTGAAGGAACGTCTCCGTTATAGTCATTATCCAGAGAAGATACTCGAGAGTATCGTAGACTTAATCCCTCTGGAATGGGTTCAAATTCTTCGAAAAGGACCCAAGCTGAAAATTAACGATTGGGTGGCAATAAAAATTATCCTCATGAAATTGACACTATTCTAGATAAGTTCCCGAATGGGGACATAATTTTACAATCGTACGGCCTCTTATAGGATCACACTCTCATTCCTAAAGGGCGAGGCCAAATTAAATGGGTGCAGGCTGATCAAATTTTCAAAATCAGGGTTTTACGGAAGAAAGATCAATGGTTGGCCTTTAGATCTTTCACTTTCATTTCGGATCTAACAATTGACCCTGCCAACTAGATTTGGAGTTCGCCATGTAAAGACAAGAAAACCAACAGAGATTATTAGAGGACTCTTCACACCCTGGCAGTCAAATCAACTTATCGAGTATTAAGGGTGAAAATTAATATGAAGGACAGAGTATCATCTAGATGGATGGACCATCTCAATATCAGTAAAAAAAAATTAAGGTTGATCAAGTGGTTTAATCTAATGAAATCAAAACCAGCCAATGTAGTTTCACTCCAATGACAGATTGAACACAAATGTCTCCCCACTAACGACTGGTTGATCGACAAGTCCTCTTTAAAACGAACAGGAAAGGCATCCAGATGGTGCAACTTTTGTAAATCAGCCTTTCCCAGTCGACTGATTCCATAAACGATCGAGCATGTATTTATGTAATGCCCAGGTTTCGTCTGGGTCTGGAGATGGTGAGACGAAGTTTGGCCTCAACTAGGACCACGAAATCCATGGCCGTGGGGATGGAAGGTTATCCTCTTGGAAGTGTGGATTTGATAACCCAATGACGAATTTACGCAAAACCTCTTCACAATTGGAAGAAGAGCAGTCATATGGGCCATATGGCTTAGACGACGCACATACAAAATGGAAGGAGCAAGGCTTGATGACCCAGAGTTCACTTAAACCATTAAACAACAGATACAAACATACATCTCCACTAAATGGGCTCAGACAAAAGAAAAAATAAATCATTTATCTTCTCGGACTGAGATTCTCAAACATATTCAAAAATTCAATATCAGTTGGCTCAACAGAAAAATTATGGCAAATTTCCATCATGGTTTCAACTCACACACAAGTTGGAACCAACATATGAAGGGGGTTGGTGCGGCCAATCGTTTAGGAGGGGCGGTTGCATGTTTCCAACCGTTTGTCAACATGTGACCTATATATTTTCAATATGTGATAAATATGTGATCAATATGTGATCAACATGTTTTCAACATGTTTCCAACACGTCTATGTCGGAGAATTTTTAGTGTGAAGCCCCCCGCATGGGAGTTCACAAGTGCGTGGAAATGCCGTCGCAAACGGCACCCGTTGGGCGTATTGTGGCCCGCAGTAGTGAGCTATGATGTTTTGGAAAGGCTCGATGTTGTAGATCTGCAGGTTGAAAAAAAAAAAACATGAAAGAGATAACGAGACCCGGAAAAAAAAAAATAAAAAAAAATCAAGTTGAGACTTTGTTCGAAAAAACAAATTAAAAAAAAAAAAAAAAAGGTTCGACATGCCTTCATTGCCGTCTGGGGATCTCTTTTCCAAACCGTCATTGTCGTCATGTGATGAGAGTGCATCCCCAGACTTGCCTTTCAATAACTGTGTGCACATTTTCGAGGACAATGCAATGAAATTCGTGCAGTATGCAGCCCCCTCCCCCCTCTTGCGATGATGAACTGTGGTCGACGTGATTTTTGGTACTTTGTTTGCTGGTCGGCAGGACAACTTCCCCCCTGTGGTCGTTGACACGGTGTACGCTGCCGCATGTCTCGTGGTCCCTTATGGAGTCACCGGTTTTTCTGTAATGCTGTGTTGCGAAGTGCGATGACACCGTGGATCATGGTTCACGACAAAAAAAAAAAAAAAAGGATGATATGGTGGTCACATCGAGGCATAGTGCAGGTTCCTTTTTTCGAAGACCTGCGCTTGGTAAACCTAGGTCGAGCCTGTTTTCTCAGTTTTTGTGTCCGAGGCTTTTTTTTTTTTTTTTTTTTTTTTTTTTTTTTTGCACGATGCTGGACCCTCCAGAAGTCTTGTTGACTTTTTTGTTTCGGCCTCAATGGTGGCTTAGGCCTGACATAGTTATGTTCAGACCACAGGTAACTGTTTGAAGTGGTTGTTTGGACTGGCCGAAGGTACTACGTCAATAGGTAGGCTGTGTGTAGTGCTTTTTAGCAGGCCAAGTATGAGTATAGGTAACAACAATTTTCAGTAACCTTTTTTGCTAGCAGTTTGTTAACTTTTTCCCCCCAGGGCCAGGGGTATGTGTGGTGTGGTGTGCAGTCCGGTTAGGACTATGGCCCTTTACTGGTTGTGACGAGTAACAACTCCTTTTTCAGGACCGACGCGATGCAGTATCGGCACTTCCGGGGATGTCGATACGTAGCAGCGCGGAGGCGGGTGAGTGGTGGAAGGGAATATCGAGGTATGAATGGTGGGAAACCCCCTGAACATGACTGCGTGGTGGCAGTCGAAACGCGTCGGAGAACCAATTCTGATGAGTTTTAATTGAATACTCTGACTATTGGTGCGAACCTGTCTACGTTGAGCTTGTCATTTGACTTGATCTCCGTGTGCGTGTATATCTTCTTGCATGTATTACTATCCATTACACACCTGTCGAAGTCACGTGTGAACTGTCTCGGACCAAGCTGAGATGAGTGAGCACGAGCCTATTACATAGGTTGAGTTCAGTTTTATTTTCGTTCGATTATCGTGGTCGAAGAGTTTGGTATTTCGGAGACCTCAAGCGTGGAGTGGACTTTCAGTTACAGGGTTATTAAGTATGGCGAGCGATGAGCCGAGGGGCAATCAAGGCGGATATAACAGTGGGGGAGGAGATCGCAATCACGACCGGGAGCGTGAACGAGATCGTGGTCGCGAGAGAGAGCGTGAGCTTGACCGCGATCGCAATCGGGATCGAGACTCCGATCGGGAGTATGATCGGAACCGAGACCGGAGCCAGAGGCGTGGACCACCGAGATGTTTCAAGTGTCACAAGGTCGGCCATTATGCGAATCAGTGCAGTTGGTTCGACGCGCCGTCTACATCAAACGATTAGTATAGAGGACGTTCGTCATCACCTAGGCGCGGCCAGATGAAGTCGTCTACATCCGGCGAATCACGTATGTCGTCGGAGCTTGAGAAATTGGGACGCAATGTTGCTAGTTTGCAGGAGTACGTTCAACCTGAACGATCGAAGAAGGACGAGAAGGAGGCGTAGAAGAAGGCTAAGGAATTAGCTAAGCAGAAAGCGGAGGAAGAGAAGATTGAACGTGAGCAGCGTGTGGCCCGCAAGGAGGCCAAGGCGAGGAAAGCGGAAGAGAGGGAATTGAAACTGGCCAAGAACGTGGATATGCAGCTATCATTGAAGATCGGCGAACTACGAGACGAGATTCGGCAGGAACTACGGAGGGTTATGACCGGGAAAAGCAAGGCGAAGAGCTCTTCGGGTGTGAGCGGGAGCGGATCCAGTGGGGACAGCGATGGGGGATCCGAGGACCTGAGTGCACGTACCAAGCAGCTAACCATCAGCGAGAAGCGAAAGAGGGGTGTCGAGCCTGTTTTCGAAGACAGTCCGCCTACGGTTGTACCTCCGAAGCGTACACCGCGGAGACGGTCAGGGATCAAACGGATTCGCCTGACACCTCGGTTGAAGTCGTGCACACCGAAAGTGAAGTCTCGTAGTACGACGAAGCCCAAGAGCCGACAGGCATCTAATATGAAGATTCCGGCAGAGTGCGGGGAACTGGGCCGCTTATGATATCTGCAGTGCGGCGGGATCTGATTGATCTGGATGCAAAAGCTCTGGAGGCATTGTGTAAGAATGAAGGGATTGAGTACCATGGCAAGATGAATGCCATTTTCGATATTGCTGATCACAAGGCGGCGGTGGCATAGACTCTGTCCACGAGTCGGAAGAGGCTGACAAGGCTCAGTCCAAGGAAGAAGCTGAGGCGCAAGGAGATATCATCGAAGGCACTGATGGCGATGCTGAGGAGACTAACCAAGATTAAGGATACACGACTCTGCGGCGTCAATGCGTTTATCTGTGTAACGTTCGGAAGCAGTTGGGAGCGATAGATCACACCGTTGAAGATGTATTACGATTGGTTGTTGTCAAATTGACTTTGCTGGGAGGACTTTGGTGGTGTCGAAAATTCGTTGAGTCTTGGGTTTGTCTCTTTGCACGTTTTGGGATCTCCTTCTTGGAGAAACCAAATTGTGTATATGCGGGTGTCAAGTCGCAGTATATCGGTATGACTACTCGCTCGATTAACATATGTTGGAGCGAACATCTCTTTGCATGTAAACACCGTAACCATTCACATTTTTACCGATGGCTTGCTTTCTTTGGTGTTGAGAATTACGTACTGCTATTGATTGATATATCTAGCGCCTAGGAACTTGAGACTTTAGAAGCATTCTACATTCGCCAGTGGTCTCTTTTCCTTAACTCGACTGGTGCTCATCGTGATAAGCGGAAACGTAAGGTTTGCCCACTAGGAAGGAAGGAACGTAGTCGTAGGCAAGTACAAACGACCGATGTGTGTGTTCGGGCACTTAATCCGATTAGTGTTCAAAGAGAGAACCAGGACGCCGAACCGTACGAATACACGAGGTGTTGGTCTCAGCCTTTGAGAGTAAGGAAACGAGTTTCTGTCTGTATTTTTCAGGTGGTAACGCGTGGACTGATACTTGGCATCGGATATTTAAGGACTTTGGGAAGTCGACAGTTCAATTTGGGGGTTGCAATCGGAACCTAAGTGAGTGTAAGAATGTCTTTGAGGAAGGGGGAAAGTTTGTTTTCTTGTTTCTACGTAGATGGCGACCGGCCAGTGGCCCATATAAAGAAATTTTGGTTTCCATACTACGTAACCCGAAGAGATTGGATATTGTCTGGGCTTGGCGTATCAATAATCCCCAGAAGCAGTGTAATGTTGTGGAGGAATTTAGCCGGGAGTCTACTCGACGGTATTTACGTCGTCTCATGAGTTGGATTTTCAGGGTCAGACATGGTATTTGTATTAGCTCTGACCTGACTATTCGAATTGGGTTTGATGATAGGATTAAGCTATCTGAGGTTCGGAAGGTGATTAATGACCAACTTATGAATTGTGGACTCCCTTCTTGCTTTCCTAAGCGCTCGCGTCGGAATGTTTGCACGGTGTGGACTAAAAATCGCACCGTGGGGGATATTCTGCACAATCAGAGGTCACTTGCCTCGAAAGATGTGCTGGCCTGCAACTGCTCAGGCCTGTCCGCTCCGAAGGAAAACGGACATGTGCGCTTTCGCCTTAGCAGTATAGAGGGGTTGCATCCTCTGCTTTGCAATGCGAAGAACATCCCGATCGAATGGAGAGACGATAGATTGTTGAGTTTGACTAAGGAAATTCAAGATGGATTTTGTAGCTGGAGGAACTGTTGTGAAACACCCACAATTCGAATTGAGGATGTTGAGCAGTGCCTTTTCAGCGAGATGAATGTACCAGCGAAGGCTTTGCCGGTGTCTCAGGTGCTGAAGGTAAAGAACTATTTCGACGGGATGGTCATGACACCGCTTGACCGTAACCCCGACGAAACCCTGGATGTATGCTCATGGCCCATGGGTGTATTTCGAAGCAATGATGTGTACGTTTGTGCGCAATCCAGGATATGTTGTTGTGGACCAGCCTGTTGAAGTAGTCAAGCATACTGTCTTGGAGGAAGTTAGACTCTTGGGGCTTGTTCGGTTTGCTAAATGGGACAAGTCGGGCTCCTTCGGATCCTCTTATGTGCTGCCAAAGCACAAAGACTTGGACCGATACAGACCAATTTCTCCAACGTATAGCGAGCCTATGGTGAAGACAGGGAAAGCCGTGTCTAAAACTCTGAATCATTTGTTGTTTTGCCTACCCAAGTCTTGGCACTTCAACCTGCCGGCAGTTTCGATGTTGGTTGAGCGTTTGAAATCGATCAACTTGAAGATTGACAAATTGGGGTCGGGTGCACAGATTGCAGTTTTTTCATACGACATCAAAGAGATGTTTAGTCTTCTTCCACATGAATGCATCCTTGAGGTTGTTAACTGGTTGATATCTATATACCAGCAGAAGGGTAAGGAATTTGTTCGTGTTAACACGCGAGGGAAAGGGGCAACCTTAGGTGTTACCAGTGGTGGGGATCATTGGCGAAGGATTGAATTGGCAGATGTCAGGAAGTTTGTGACTCTTGAGCTCAATCATATGTATACGTACGCCACTGGTGTACTGCTGCGACAAGTCATTGGGATCCCAATGGGCAAGAACACTAGCCCCCCATTGGCTTGCATCATGTGTGTGTTTTCTGAATTTCGTTTTTTGAGTAGTCTGGGTAGGAAGAATTGTTTGGTTTTTGGTACTCGACTGGTGGATGATGTCTGTTTGTGTATCGCTCATATAGCGAGATCTGTGACGGAAGTTGATCGTATTCGAGATGAGTTCGAGCATTGCTATCCTGATAACTTGACATTAAAATGTACGGATGACGGGCAAAAGCAGTGGGATTTTCTGGGTTGTCAAATCCAGGTCCGCCAGAAATTTCCGTACATCAGAAAGTGTCCAGTTGTCACGGAATGAAAAATGCATTTGGACTGAGTGTAATTTGGAATTCCACAATGGGCAGTCCTTCAATTCCTGGGGTAGTAAAAGCCAAAAGAGTGTCATTGTTAGCAGTCATCTGCATCGCATCGACCAAAATACTACGGTACGCAGTGAAATCCCGTTGCGGGCGCTGACCTTGAAACGCGAAGTGCGTCTGAAAGGTTTCCCAGGTGAATTTTTCTTGAGAGTATTGAAACGTTTCGCCTTCCATCGAGACAGAGTCTGGAGCCTGGCGTTCGAACTTATTAAGTCCGCGATGTGAGCACACAGCGGCGGTTCGAGGCTAGGCTCATCTATTTGGACAGGGTCCTGTTGACTTTTTTGTTTCGCCCTCAATGGTGGCTTAGGCCTGGCATAGTTATGTTCAGACCACAGGTAACTGTTTGAGGGGGTTGTTTGGACTGGCCGAATGTACTACGTCAATAGGTAGGCTGTGTGTAGTGCTTTTTAGCAGGCCAAGTATGAGTATAGGTAACAACAATTTTCATTAACCTTTTTTGCTAGCTGTTTGTTAACTTTTTCCCCCCAGGGCCAGGGATATGTGTGGTGTGGTGTGCAGTCTGGTTAGGACTATGGCCTTTACCGACGCGACAACTGATGGTCAGAGTACTTACACTTCTGTGACAAGTAACAACTCCTTTTTTCAGGACCGACGCGATGCAGTATCGACACTTCCGGGGATGTCGATATGTAGCAGCGCGAAGGCAGGTGAGTGGTGGAAGCGAACAGCGGGGTATGAATGGTGGGAAACCCCCTGAAGATGACTGCGTGGTGGCAGTCAAAATGTGTCGGGGAACCATTTCTGATGAGTTTTAATTGAATACTTTGACTATTGGTGCGGACTTGTCTACGTTGAGCTTGTCATTTGACTTGATCTCCGTATGCGTGTACATCTTCTTGCATGTATCACTATCCATTACACGTCCAGAAGTCGTTTATCGTCGCGCGATGAAACGCCCAATCCCCCCCCCCCCCCCCCCCCCCCCCCCCCCCCCAAAGATGTGCCCCGCCACGTGCTTCCTTTTTTTGTTGAGGTCCGGTGCCAGTTTATGGTGCCTCTCCGTTTTGGCCTTCTATATTTTTGCCACATTTCAGCCTATTGTGCCTGGTATACTACACGTACGTTTTTTCCAAGGCCTGCACTTGGTTGGTGTAGGCCGAGCCTCTTTTTTTTTTTTTTAATCCCGCAAGTCCCTTTTGTCAATCGCAAGTGTCCGAGGCCTTTTTTTTTTTTCGAATTGCACGAAGCTGGACCCCCCATACGTCGTTTTTCGTCGCTCGCCTCCACTCCCCCCACTCCCCCCTCCAAGACGCGCCGTGTAGAACCGGTACCTTTTTTTGTTGAGTTTTGGTGCCGCTACGGTGCCTCTCCATTTCTGCCTTCCCTTTCCTTGCCACATTTCGGCCTATTCTGCCACTGGTGCCGTTTCGTTTGGGTTCTTTGCCACAGGTACCTTTTTTCCAAGGCCTGCACTTGGTTGGCCCAGGTCGAGCCTCTTTTGTTTTTTTACCTACCGGTACCTACTTGTCTTCACACCACTTTTACCTCATTGTTGTTGACGTTCCTTGATGTTTTTCGTTGTCTTCATCTACAACCTCTATGTTTTCACCATCTCCTTTGTGCTTCGTGTTCCCATCATCACCTCCCTGTGCTTGTGCTCTTCACGTGTGTGCGACGTTCTTCAAGGCTTGAACATCTGCAGAAGCCCTGACAGAGAGAGAGAGAGAGAGAGAGAGAGAGAGAGAGAGAGAGAGAGAGAAAGAGAAAGAGAGAGAAATCTTGTTGTAGACAACATCACAGAGATTAGAGAGAGAGTTGTTGCAGGGAGCTGCAGTGGTACTTGATAAGGTACGGTATTCGTTGAGTTACCAACCCCTCCCCCCCAATTATCTTTTTTTATTTTTTTTTTATTTTTTTTTTCATCTTCTTCTTCTTCGTCTTCTTTCTTTCTTT